AAGAGTAGGTGGAGCGGTTAAATTTCCCCTCCCTTGCCTCTTGGACTGCTGGTGGGCTCCTGAGTGGTTGGAGAGACCTGCCAACACCAGCCCAGAGACGGCCATTGACAGTGAGTGGGTGAGCCTCTTGCGGACAGACAGGGCACTAGGCTCCCAGCTCCCTTGGGGCACCTCCTAGGCCTCAGACCTGAGCTGATTGGCAGGTGTCATATTGCTTCATTCTCCCCTTCACCTTCCCTACCTACGGCTTCCGAGAGAGACAATTTAGCCATAACCCAGAGGCATCTGCAGGGAATGGGACCTTTCCTTTTGGGGCCATAAAGCGGACTGAGGGGTACTCAGACTATGAGCTCCCTACCTGCCAGCCCTCCCAGGTGCTGCTTGCCTGGTGACTTCAGGAGAGCTTGGCAAATCCTGAGGTGGAGAGACATTGATCCAGCTTGGGCACCCTGTGGGTGACTTAAGACCAGCACTCTTCTCCCTGGCAGGGTCAGGGATTGATCTCCAGGGACCAGGGGACAGGCCTGCAGACCATATCCTGTACACCCAGGTCTCAATAGCAGTGTCTGGGGCCACAGAAGGGATACTTGTGAATGAGCCTACTGAGGTGTGCGCCTTCAAGGGCAGATCAGCGTGCTTGAGGGGCAACTGTCCTGCCACAAGGGGGCTGTGCTCTCAGCTCGGGCTGCAATCCTGGGCAGGGAATCTCTCAGCCCATGTCACAGCCAGGGGAGATCTGCTTTCTTGAGGTCCTGCCTGCCAGCAGAGGACCGGGAGAAACTGTGGAATAGGGCAGGGTGGAAAGGAACAAGACCTGCTCCAGAGTGTAGGTCTCAGACAGCCCCACCCCCACATGCAGAATTTTGGGCCAAGTGGGGCCATTTCAGCCCCTCCCTGGCAGCTTTGTCCAGAAGCAGAGAACAGAAATTTGACACCTGCTCACATCATTTGTGGTGTTTGAGGGCAGGCTTACCCAACCCAGCTCCACCCAGACTCACTCCCCAACCTGCCCCTACTGAAGTAGAGAATAAGGAAACACCTGGAAGTCCCAGGGCACCACCCACCACCTGAGGCATTAGAGTGCCTCTCCAGAGAAACAAGAGCTGGTTACAGGACCCAAAAACAACACTGCAGCCTGCTCCTTTTAGCAAATGCCACCTACTGACAGGGAGGTCATTCTGCACACCCTTTATGTATGTGTTGACTCATCATACAGAGTGTGGTCAAATTTCACCCACAAACACCACCTACTGGCTCAGAGACTAAACAGGGTATGTCATTATTGAAACAAAAATCTAAAGGTAAGAAGCAACAGCTGATCCAGATGGGAAG